AAAAAAAAATCTTATTAGAAAGCAAACCTTTCTATGCTATATGTTTAGCCTTAAATTTATTTTTCATTTCTCCTATTTCTCTAAAAAGTTGTCAACCAAGTATAATTTAATTAGTTTTTTCACCTTTTATAAGAATATGAAGAGTGGAAAATTTTAATATTTAGATGTTAAGTAATGCATTAATGTATTTTGATGAATTGCAAATTTTGACCTCAACATTTCTACATATTTAAATAAAATATCATTAATAATATTTATAAAAAAATTTTGAATATTTATAATGAATCTTAGACCTTAAAACTTAGATTGGTGTTTCCTCCAAAAAGAAAAAAAGTTTGACATCTTTGAATTTTTTGTAAGAATTAGAGCAAAGGAAATAAGAAAGAGTCTTACCGTCTAATATTGAAGTGTTGAGTCAGGTCAATATTGGCAATGAAAATAATTTCATTTTTGGAATTTGGACTATAACCCTTAAAGTTTAAAGCACTCCTTCATTGACTATCCTGGTGGAATTGAAATTTTTTTCATAGCCAAAGGCTTTTTAATTGACTATCCTACTATAAATTTCTTTTCCTATATATGTTTAGGAAAAAAAAAAAAAAACAGAAGTTGCCATAATTTGAGGACAACTGCTTTTTCTATATTTAGTTTGTGGTGGAAATAGTGTTGGATTATACTTGCCAAGATTGGTCAATGGCCTTATCCATTGATCCAAACAATTAAAATAGAAATTTTTTAAGAATTATTTCTCTTTTATTTTATTTTTTTTAATATATATCAGAAATATCTTTGTTTTAATAAAAATTTTTAATTTTATTAGTTTGGTCCATAAGTGGAGTCATAAATCTAATCTAGCTAAGTCAATCTTAATAATGTTAGTAATTGTTTAATAAAAGATTTAATGCAGACAATAAGGTGTTGATTGGGATAATAAGCGACCTTAATCTCTATAAGAGTGAGAATACAAATTCGATATAAAAAAAAAATGCACTTTGCTGGAAGGGTTAAAAACCTTTACGCTCTACTGTCTGAAGGAGATTATATCTCTTGATTATACACAAAAAAAAAAAAAAAAAAAAAAAATGGAGTCATAAAATCTAATCTAGCTAAAGTCAATCTTATAATGTTAGTAAATTGTTTAATAAAAGATTTAATGCAGACAAATAGGTGTTTGAATTGGCGATAATGAAGCGGCACCCTTAATCCTATAAGAGTGAGAAATACAATTCGATCATAAAAAAAAAAATCGCACTTTTGCCTGGAAAGGCGTTAAAAACCTTTACGCTCTTAAACTGTCCTGAAGGAGATTATAATCTCTTTGAATTATAACACAAAAAAAAAAAAAAAAAAAAAAAAAAGCTTAATGCATAAATTTGCCATCCAATTTGAACAATTTAGCCGAATAATACCTCAGCCAAAGACATTAACAAATTTTTTTACTATTATTATTATTATTGTTATTATATTAACATTTTTTTCTTAAAATTATATATCAAATTATTAATTTTAAAAAAATGAATTAAAAATTATGTTCCATTTGGTAAGTAATTTGTTTTGACGAGGAATTATTCGATGAATACTTCAATTGTACCTATTTAAATGGAGTATATATAAACTTAATTTTTTTTAAAAAAAAAGGTTAAATCGTTAATGACTATTATTAAAATTTAAGATTTTAATTATATATTTAGCCATATAACACCAAGTGTTGTACAGTTTAACAAAATAAATTTAGAATTTATCCTCTCTTTTTTTTTTTTTTAATTTTAGATAAACTTTATGTACTCTTGTGTTTCAGGATGCATTGTACTTGTGTGCATTCCTGCACTGGATAACTGCGCTTAAAGAACAAAAGGTTGAGCGGAAGTAAGTAAGTACATATGCACAAATTTTCTAAAATTAAAACATGTAGACATGCATAAATCGTGGGTCCAACTTGATTTAAATAAAGCCCAACTCTAATGGATGTTACAGCAACAGATGGCTTTTAGTGCTTTTATTGGGATTCTCAAATCACTGTTCCCATTAACATTGATTTCAGTAATACTTTTAATATTATCTTCCCTCCTTAAATTTAATGTTACATCCGTCAAAAAAAAAAAAAAATATTCCATCTTTCATTTTTGATTTATTTCAAAATATAATTTTTTTATATTATAAATTAATTTTTAAATTATTTATTATATTCTAAAATTATTTATTAAATATTCTTATTAAATTTTATTTTAAATTTTTAATAATCTCATTACTCTTACTTAACTCTTACTTATTATTTCAATATAATAATTATTTATTTATTATTTAAGATGGGTAGAAAAGTTATATAAATAAAATTATTATTTAACCATAATATAATTGCTACTTTTTTAATCTCTGTGAAAATAGAAAGGCGCTTTTTGGGATGGAAGGAGTAGTTTTATTTACATGACATTTAAAAAAAATTAATTATTATATTTCAATTTTATTTGTCTAAATGTTTCCACAGAATGTAGTTAATTATACTTATTTTTTATAAAACTAAAGTAATTTAACTATTTTATTAATTTTTATGAAAAATTAAAATGTAGTAAATTTAATGGAACATAGATGACATATATAATATGGATACTCTCTTTGTCCATAACAAGTATTATCATTTAAAATTGTTGCATAATAATTTATCTCTTCTTCGAAACAAATAAATTCCATAAAATTTTATGAAATTATTTAAAGATTTATATTTTTATGTTTAAAAAAATATAGATTTCAATTCTAGAAATTTAATTCTATAGAATTGAACATAACTATATCAATTCCATGAATATGTGAAATTTTCAAATAAATTCTATAAAACTAAGTGATAAAACTTTTTATGACAAAACTACTATTCTCTTTTTATGAAGTTAAATTTTTAATTTTTTTACTTATTTAACTTATTTATTTTATCACACTTGAACAAATTTTTAATCTTTTTTATTTATTTTATCACACTTGAACAAATTTTCAATCTTTTTATGAAGTTAAATTTTTTTACTTACTTATTTAAATTTATTTTTTTTAGAAAAAATAATTTCTTATTATTGTGCTTTTTTATTTTAATATTTTCATATTTTATTTTAATATTTTTAGCATTTTTTTACTATTGAGAAGAGAGATTCAAGTTAAATATACATTTATCACTAAATTAAATTTAATAATTTTATCAATATTATTTTTTATATATTTAGTTTTAATAAAAATATAAAAAATTATATAGCATAGCATAAATATAATTGATATTTATTATTTATTTTATGAAATTACTATTTCAAGGATATTTTAGGAAATAAAAGCAAATAAATTTTCAATTATGAATTTATAAAAGCAAATAAATTTTCATTTAATGAATTTATTTCAATAACATGATTATGGGGAATTCATTGAAATTACATATTTTAAAATTAATCATTAACAAACATGAAATTCATTCACAATTAATTATACTATAGCAAATAAATTTTCAATTATGAATTTATTTCATACATGATTATGTGGAATTCAATTGAATTACATATTTTAAATTAATCATACCAAACATGAAAATTCATTCACAAATTAATTATACTATAATTCATTATTTCATATTTTGAATTTATTTATACCACAAGGCACGTAATGAAACAATTTATTTTTCTAAATAATAAAAAATATATTAATTTGGTTAATGACAAATTTTTTTCACATTATTACTTCTGTTATTATATTTAATATCAGTAAAGTAAAATTAAAAAAACCTATTAATAACATTTTAATATTCTCAAAGCTACAGATATTTGTGGATAAATAAGTACTCTAAAACAATGGTATTTATCAAAAAAAGGAGTATAATATAATTTTAGCAATATTAAGAAATATTTGTGTCCAAACACATAATTATAAAAATAATAATAATATTTTCACCAAACTTTGAAAATGGCTTTAAAAGGACTAAAATTCGATCTTTCTATATCCAAACAGTTAGCACTTTGCTATTTTTTCAAACATAACTCATTTTAAAATAGTCCATTTTGTCCCTGTATAAGTCATTTTAACAATATTGAGAAATGATTAATACTGCCGTCAACTACAATACTTATCACATTTGTAATTTTAAGGAATAAAAATTTTTTATTCATATTTACCCTTTGTATATGATAATAATTATTGCTTCAATTTAATAGTTTCTTAGAGAATTAATATTAAATTAAGCATAATATAGTAAATTTATCTAATAATTTATTATAATTTAGACAAATTTAATTATTTTCTTAAGGGACGTGAAATTCCAAATGTGACAACTATTATAGAACAGACGTAATAATATTTTTTCAATTTTACTCTTATTTATATTAAAGCAAATTCAATTTTCTAAAGGGTAATTAAATCAAATTAATGAATATTTTATTATAATTTAGAAAAATTAATTATTTCCTTAATCATCATAAAATCTAGAGCAACTTATATCTGTACCTAATTGATATACATTTTATGGATAGAATATATTTAATTTTTAATAGAAAGTGTATATGTTTTTTTTTAACAAAGGATCCCATAGTAAATTGAAGAAAATATTATAAATGTTAAAACAATTTTTTTGAAAACAGAGGGATGAAAATATTAATTAAAATATAATTTAAATTTAAGAACCTAAGTATATATAAACGAGTATCCCATTGGTAAAATCTCGAATATTCCATTTAACTTTATTTTTCAGTCCACAACAAATTGTGGTACCAAGCCTATCAATAAAAGATTTAAACAAAAAAAAAAAAATCCCTAATACTTTATAATAATAATAATGATAATAAAGATAATAAATTATAAGAAGAAAAAACGAGGGCCGGACAAAAAAAACATCATTATCAATGTTAAAAAAACGTGAGAAATCTGGTTTGCAACATACAAATTAATCTCACGACAATATAGCCCACAAAAAAAGCATGCCGGCCATTTGCAGTATTGAAACTTCACATCCACAGCAGAAGAACAAAATAAGCGCAAAATGAGAAGACAAGAAAACTATCATCAAATATCAGAAAAAGAAAGATTTGAAATAGTCGGTCATCGTTCAGTTGTCCATTCTGAAACATAAATAAAGCCATTCATATCCTCAGAATCCCATCCAACTCTACTAGCTAAGGAGAAAAGAAAAAACATAGGCAACTCCCCCATAGGAATCAAAGATACCCAACTCAGATGCAAGGACAAAATGATACGACACAAACGCCACAAGTACCTTTAAAATATTTCGGTATCTATATATGTATATTTATAAAAATATATCTAGCAGTTGATTAGTTCAGACAGCATTAAGCATCTGATTCAGTGCAACGGAGAGCGAGGAATGCGAGGCCGAACAGGTGTCTTTGATGGACTCACCCTGCATACACAAACATAATACAGAGTGACTTAGAAACTTTTAAGATGTTTGTGGCATGGAAAAGTGCAGCATTCCAGCAGAAACCCAAATGGTTCTTCCAATACTAACCTTATTGGCAAGGATCCCAGAACTGCACCGCTACAGTTGAGTGCTAAAATTGCACTTTCAGCCTGCAAGAATTAGAAAACAACATAAAATGCACTATTATTATCCGCGTGACAGTTTGAAAACCAGCATAAGAAAGATGCTTATGCATAACAACCAATTGGACATGAGAAGTCAATAAGATATAAGCACAAAATAGGTAATAATTCATCCAGATGCATTGAATTTGATCATCCAAGATCAATCGCCAATATAACATAAAGATTAATTTCAATGCACCATAATGGATGTACAAGAACATCCTAACGACCTTAGAAGATGGTAGTTTAAGTTCTAAGCAGATATTCATGTTACCCGCCTACTTTTGATGCTATTGAGAAAAGACATTTTCAAGTACTGTCTAACTATTCTGTAGTTTTTATGACGAGCATATGTGAAATTCACCTTAAACTTAAATAACATTTCGATAACACTTTGAAAAAGTGTTTTTTGCCAACAGCAATTATAACAGCAATGCCAAACTCACCCATTATGTGCTAGTATTAGCCAAGTAGGCATGTCTTATAATTGAAGTAAGGTCATTCCTCTCTCTCTCTCTCTCTCTCTCTCATGTGCATACTTAGTGTTCCACAAACTATCTCAGACTCAGACTCAGACTCTCTCTCTCTCTCTCTCTCATATGCATACTTAGTGTTCCACAAACTATCTCAGACTCTGCTCAGCCAACAAAAGTAAGGTCATTCCTCTCTCTCTCTCTCTCTCTCTCTCTCTCTCATGTGCATACTTAGTGTTCCACAAACTATCAACCATATTCTCAAACCTTTATGAGAGTGTCAGCTTAAAAAATCTGATTGTATAATCATGTTCAGCATCAAAGAAAAAGAGCACAAAGCAACAACATCAAGGATGTAATGTTAGCACAATAACATAAAATTCCATTAAGTTTATGAAATTCAATTGAATTCCCATATTATCATGTTTGGTATGTAAAATGAATATTGTCCATTTCAATTCCATGAACTCAATTACATAAAACTGGACATAATTAAACCGTTTTCAACAAATTGGTGGAATTTCCACTAAAATTTTTCTAAATTTATACAACCAAAATCTCAGACCAAAATGCCCATACTCACATCCTCTCTCTCTCTTTCCTCCTCTTCTTCTCTCGTTCCTCTCCCATCTCTTTCACCTCCTTTCTCTTGTTTTCTCTTCTCGATTTATTTCCTTCTCTATCTTTCTCCCTCCACGTCTCTCTTTTCTCTCACTTTATTCTCTTTTAAAGCGTATCTAGGAAATTATCATATACTTAATTTGAATTTTAGATTTACTCTAAACATAGATTTTGTGGAATCCAAATGAATTCCATCTTTTAAGTTCACTACAGCATACATGGAAATTCGTTTATACGTGAGTTCTATCCACAACTCATTTCAAATGCATTCCGCACATGACATTCATTTAACAGCCTTAGTCAAGTAAAAGTGGAAAACATGTTTGGAATAGACTCCAGCTTTAATGAACTTAAAATGTCAGCTGAAACAAGTACAAACCTCGTAATATAGATTAGGAAGTGGTATTCAGAGGACAGAGAACAATTTTTAGATATTTATAATTAGCCTTGTAACATAGTGTTTTTCTTACACCTTGTTTGAACAAATGAATTCCATAAAATTTTGTGGAATTCATTTATAAATCTATATTTTTGTGTTTGGAATGAAAAAAAATTTAAATTTCAATTCTAAGAATTCAATTCTATGGAATTGAACATAACTACTCCAAATTCTACAAAAACAGGTAAAATTTGCAAATGAATTCCACAAAACTAAACAATCCAACTCAACTTTTTATGACAAAACTACCATTATCCTCCTACCACAAAACTAAGCAATCAACTTTTATGACAAAACTACTACCATTCTTCTTCTACAAAGTAAATTTTTCAATTTTTTACTTATATAACTTATTTATTTTACCAAAATTCACCAAAACCATTTAAAAATTTTATTTTTTTTAGAAAAATATTTTCTTATCATTGTTTTTTTTTTATTTTAATATTTTTCATCTTTTGTTTTAATATTTTTTTAGTATTTTTTTACTATTGAGGAGAGATATTCAAGTTAAATATACATTTATCACTAAATTAAATGCGATAATTTTATTAATATTTTTTTATTTATTGATAAAAATATAGAAAAATTATATAGCATAACATAAATATAGTTGATATTTCAAGGATATTTTAAAAAACAAAACCAAATGAATTTTCAATCATGAATTTGTTCCATATATGATTATTTTGAATTCAATTGAATTACATGTTTTAAATTAATCATATCAAACATGAAAAATTCATTCACAAATGATTCTACTAGAATTCATTTACAAATGAATTCCATATTGTGAATTCATTTATACCAAACGGAGTGTTAGTCTTTAATGAATGAAACATCACTTGATTAGTGAGTGGCAAGGCTTGTTTACCTAGTGCAGTGTCCCTCTCTCCCTTCTGTTAGTCCAGTATCAACCTCCTTGACTTACCAAATTCTCTTAGTTAATCTGATCAGCTTAGTGAAACCTCCTGATCCTAAAATCCCCTTCCATTGATTTTAACTCTAAAACCAACCAATTCCTTAAAGATCTGACCACCATAAAAGCACTAGCAGGCTAGTTGCTGTACAAGTCCTACATCAACTAAATGCATCATAAATTTCATCAACCCATAGATTTACCCTTAAAACCTACTGATGTTTGTAGCAGGACTTCTCACACTGCGATGAATATTTTTGAATCAAGAGACCTCAACCTTCAACTATTTCTGAAATAAGATTATCAGCTAACAAGAACCTATTCAGATGCAGTCATGTATGCTAAAAATAAAAAAATAAACAATACATACAAAGAAACTTCAATAAAAGGAACAAAACGTCAAGCTTCAATTGCATAAGCTATCTGTAACGAAAGACTGAAACACCAATTTGGATACAAACTCTTAACAGTAAGACAACAACAAAGTAGATAACATATCTATTAAGGGTATAATAGATTGCAGCAATATATCTATTAACTATTGTATCAATACTTCAGAAGAAACTCCATGCGTATAATTGTTCAATAACTAAGAAAAAATGCTTTGCAAAGACCAATTACCACTGCGAACTCAACAAAAGCAATCCGAGTTGAATGATGATAGTCTCCAAGAAGCCTCAAACGGTGAACCTATTTAGAGCAAAATGTTAAATAAGTTATAGTCCATACTCGAAAGATAGTAGTGTTCATAGTTCCTTTATAAAATAAAAACAAACCTCTCCACATAAAGATTCAAAGAAAAGTCTGACATCTGCCTGAGTAACCTTCATTAAATGATTGAAAATAAATCAGAAAAGAAAAAGACCAAGAAGGGTTCCAGATATTGCTGTTTTGAAGATTCAGAACAATTCTCAAGATTGTACAACTTCCACAATTACCTTCTTGTCAATATTTGTACAGTAAACAGTTCTTGCACACATCTCACGTTCATCTTCCGACTGTAGAATGTGTGATCATGATTAGACAGCCAAATACAACTCTATCATCAATTCAATTGCTAAAATGGACAATATACAAAATTGATAGTTATATACAAATTCTCACCTGTGGCAAAAATGTGGGGTTAACAGGTGCAATTGCAGTTTTGGAAGGCAGCACCCTTAGTGGGTAATATCCAAGCACAGTACCAGACAAATTTAAAGCAGTCCTAGCCCCATCTGCAAGCACATCTCATAAACTATTAAACATGTTCATCAAGACGGATGAGGTAAATTCGTTTTCAGCAGTACCTTCGTCAGTAAACTCAATGAAGGCAAATCGGAGAACAGAGTTAGGATCACCACATATACGACAATCAACCACCTTCATGAAAAAGAAAAGAAATTAAATAATCTCGAACAAAAACCCATCGTCAGCAAAATTGAAAGAGCTAAAATTGGAAAACAAAGTTGGATACCTGTCCACAATGAACAAAGAGGCCTGCAAGCTGCTCTTCAGTCACCTATATAAGAACAGAGACATAATGATTTGACAATCAATGTACAAGCACTCATAAAAGGCATAAAGAAGTCTCAATGAAAGGAAATGAGAGGGGAAGAATACAAGAGCCATATGTAACTTTTTACCTGTTGATCAATGTCAGAAACATAAACGGTTCTCCTGATTATCTCCTCACGCTGCGCCATACTTGTCCTGCTATTCATTCTTCTCCTTCCTTGACTATAATTGTTCTTCTTCTGTAACAAGAACATAAACACCAAACATGAACGAAATAAACAAATAACAAAAAGAAAGGCGAATTATACTCCATTTGGTTCCAAAAAAAATGCTTAAAAATGATCAATTTTTTCACTATATAACTCTATATCCAAATAAAAATAATTTCATAAAATCAGTCTTCTCTTTGCATTGCTCAGCAACGACAAGGAAAAACATTTAATCTGAAAAAAAAAAAAAAAAGGAAAGGAAATCAAACATACCCTTTTAGTATTAGTTCCATTGGCATTCCCAGGATTAGTTTGCACTGCGAAATTGTTAGTGTAGCCAAACCCATTACCCAGATACCCATGATTGTTAATAAGCGACGGAGGAACAAATTCTTCAGCCATGGGATTCAATTTTGATAAAATCTCGACCAAATCACTCATATCGTTCACCCCATTAGATTTAGCCCTTTGAAAACATTTAATCTGAAAAAAAAAAAAAAAAGGAAAGGAAATCAAACATACCCTTTTAGTATTAGTTCCATTGGCATTCCCAGGATTAGTTTGCACTGCGAAATTGTTAGTGTAGCCAAACCCATTACCCAGATACCCATGATTGTTAATAAGCGACGGAGGAACAAATTCTTCAGCCATGGGATTCAATTTTGATAAAATCTCGACCAAATCACTCATATCGTTCACCCCATTAGATTTAGCCCTTTGAATCTGATTGGCTCCATACCCAACAGATTTTGCCATCATCTGCTCCTGACTGATGTCGAACCCGTTATGCATCTGGTTACCATTAGTCCTGCCATTGCTCAAAGTGGCCGCCGCGGTTGCACTCTCTTGCTGCTCACACTTGCCATTAACACTCTGATCATAATCCTGACCCTCAAAATTTGATTCTTTAGAGTTGACCACCAGTTCGTTTCTGGGTTTTGATCTTTCGAGATCATTTGTTCCCTTCGATTCCCATGATACTACAGTGCTATCAAAATTTTGACCAGAAGTGTCATTTCTAGCCCCAGCATTCTCAGCAACTGCCATGATCAAAACTCACAACTTTTGTATCAAAAGATCGCCTTTATTCAGATTTCTCTACAAAACTTCTCCTCTTCTTTTCTGTAATTGGTAAGTTACCATTTTTATTAGAGAAACCCAAATTTCAAAAACACTCAAATGATAAATGCAAAATAAAATAGAAAATTACTTGTCAGAAGACCACATACCTGCCTTATCTAAATGGTTTCCATTGATGGAAATGGAAGAGCAAAGCAAAACCCACTTGACGATCGTCTTTGTTGGAATGAAACCAGAAAAGATAGAAACAGACTCTATAACACAATCTTGATGAAAAAAATAAATAAAGAGATGGGTAAAACAGAGAGCAACTTTTGCTTTTTTTTTCTAATAATTTTTATATTAGATTTAATTAATTTTTTTAATTTGATATTATTGATTTTAGAGATGATTCTTCCTCTGTAGATAAAGGACAGTTGTGAGAGAGACAAGAGAAGAGAGAGAAGGTTGTTGTTCTTAGGATCGTCCGTTTGTGCTGCTCTGCCTTTTTGGACCTTTTTCACAAAAGTCCCAAATTGATGATACATTGCATTGGGTAAGCAAAAAAAAACCATGACCATGACCTACCCATGCCTTTTTTTATTCCATAATTACCCATTTAATCTGTTCAAAATTCACCCATCTCATATGATGTATGTATGTATGGTGCACATGTATCACCATGATGATCATATTTTGTCCATACATGCAAAATTAATGAATGACTTGTTCAACATTAACCCCAAATATATATCCAAAAATTTAGTTGATGGAAAATGTTGAAGAGTTGGTGAAATTAGGTAGATACCATATTCATATCTATTTTGTATTTTTTTTTTTCAATTAAAGCAAATCACTTGATTGCCTTTAAATCCTCAAATCTGTTGCTTAAAAACTTATCAATTTTAAATTATTTCATAACTATTAAAGTTAGAAAATAAATATTGCCATTAACTATAAATTATTAGAATGATCCATGCAACATATATTATTGACTTTATATCCTTTTTTTCATCATTTCAAATCTATGTACTAGTAACTAAAGATTATACTAAGTAAAAAGAGACAGATCAATATTGATGACTAATGTAAAATAAGTTTAAACGAAAACAGTTTTCAATTTGAAAAATATGACATGAAAGATTAGAAATAGTTTTTGTTCTATGATCTTTTTATTGTTTAGATCCTGATCATAATAAATATTACTTATATGCTAGATTTTGTTAATTTTTGCCTCCTTTTTGTAAAACAAAAAAGTTTCATATAAGTAAACTTATTTAAACATTTAAAATTTATAATTTAGTTATGTACAAGATAGGACTATAGGTGAGTAAAGTTACATATAAATTGCTCGAGATTAAACTAATTAAAAGTTCATTTGATGAGTTTAGTGCCAAGTACAAGCATGTTTATCAAGTTTGTTTAATAAACAAGCCGAGCTCAAGCATGAGTTTAAGTCCATAAAGGGGTAAAAAAGCACAACCTCAAATTTTCAACTTTAATTGAATTTAAATCAGTTTTCTTCAGCTCGAATTGTATTCAAGCTTAGAGTATATTTTTAATGGGTTAAGCTCAAACTCAATCTTGAATTATGTATCTTTAACATAAGGTTTATTGATAAATATTTTTCTTATCTTTGACATATGATTTATTATATATTCTTATTGTTTTAATTAATTGCAAAAGAATAATGTTATGTAGTGAATGATGCATTTGAGTATACTATTATTTTACTAATTTAAGAAATCTTGTAGCATGGTTGTCAGTTTCAATAACTTTGGATTTTGATAAAAGATCATCCTTGTCCAACTAATTAACTTATACTAAGAGAACATTTGCTATAGCTGATTCAAACAATTAATATCTCATATACTCAATAGTGTTTTAACACCCATCAACTGGACCTAGAGAAATATGCGGGCGGATGTCACATTTGATGCTAAAGGCACCATTTTAAGATACAGATTCAAATCTTCTACGCTAAAGATAATGGGTAAATCTTTTTTTTTTTTTAATTGTGTTTGAAGTCTCACAAGTCTAGCAGGTCCATGGTTTTACTTAAAAAAATGATTTGGGAGAGTCCCGTAGAAAAACTACAAGGGTTTCCCCCTAAAAATTAGACTTAACTAATAACTTGTGAAAAAGAAAACACTTCTAAACCCAATCTCAACAATCCATCAACTCCAAAAATCTGATATAGATCAAGATACTTCAATATCAACTCACCATTAATATTAAGCCTTATATAATATCCATATATGATTTCATACAACATATCTAGCTAAAATCCATAATATAACATTAGCGCTTTATTTTAAGTCTATAAGCTCGACCCTTGGAGTAGCTGTGAATATTCAAATTTTGAGGCTCGAAAAGCATATTTTTCCGGACTGTAAACTGTCCGGCCGGACCGAAGGCCATTTTGGAAGTTAAGGCCATTTTGGAAGTTCACCGAAAGTATGCCAATATGGTACTTAAAACGTCCGGAATGTCGCGAGGATCGCGAAACAGGTCCCAGAATATTTTTCTGAGGTCCGGAACTCCCGAAAATGCCTCCGGAGTGAAAGACCCGAGGGTCGCCGCCGGCCACGGCAGCTCCTGCCGCCGGCCAGGGCAGTACCTGCCGCCCTAGGCTCGTTTTGGCCTATAAATTGGCCTCTCCCCCTTCATTTTTGACTTGCTCAGTCTGTGTTGACGGACACTCCTTCTCCCTCACGCTTTTGCGATTCTTTTCTTTTTATACCGTTTTTTGCATTTTAATTTATTTTTATTATATTTTTGTATATTTTGTTGTGATATTTGGACACTAAATCAAATAAATTAAAATTAATATTCCCCAAGCGAGGAGCTTAAATCTGGAATTAAGAAGTGGCCGCCGATTAAATCAGGTACGTAAACAAAACTCTGACTATTTAATTTCAGCACTTCATGCATATTTCTCTTCTACTCCTAACAATTCTATAATTGCATAAATGCATTCATGTTATTTATTTTAGCAAATAAACTGCTTTGATAAAAAAGAAAAAAACATGATTAAGCTTAACGCCCGATTAATTAATAATCGTGGCAGTTAAGCTTAAATCCGACAATATTGGCCAAAGAGCCTAGTTAATTAATAACAGAGGCCTAGTTAATTAATAAGCTCACGATTCAATGCCTTATCTTCGAATATAAATAATGCTGTTTTAAAGTCCAAATTGATTCAATAAATTGTGGCTAAAATGCCTTAAATCAACACGTTTTTCGGCAAAGACCTTAAAATCAACCATTTTGCGCGATAATCGCCTAATCTCACTTTTTGGCAAACAAATTGCCTGAATATCGATATATTTTGGTGCCAAAAAAGGCCTTAAAATCAATCCTTTTAAGCGGAACAAATCGCTTAAATCACACATTTAGGGTCAAAGAAACAAAATCGCTTTTAAATGAACCATTTTGGCAAAAATGCCTCAAAAATCAAACAAATTTGGCGGACAAATCGCACTTTAAATGTACAAATTTTGGCATTTAAATGGGCTTAAAATCAACAATTTTTGAGCAGATAGACCACAAATCGCTTAACGATGAACCATTTTGGCACCCCAAATGCCTCAAAAATTCAACAATTTTTGGCGACAAATCGCTTAAATGATTCAATTTTGGTCATTAAAAATGCCTTAAAAATTCAACAATTTGGACGCGACCAAATCGCAACTTTAAGATGGAAAAACCGATTTTTGGCACAATGCCTCAAAAATCTGGACAATTTTTGGCGAACAAATCGCTTTTAAATAATCATTTTCGGTACAAATGCCTTTTTAAAAAACCAACACAGTTTGGCGCACGAACTCACGCCCTAAAATCGGAATCAAATCGATTCTTTTGCAAAATGGCTAGAACTAAACAAAAAAAATGCACCAAAAGGCATTTAACACACCTCATTGCATTAAAGCACATCCCTTTCAAAGTCCTTTTAAAAAGGCCTTATCGAACTACGTTGAACTTTGATTCTTCCATTCAAACGGAAGTACGTAGGCACTGTTCGACGGATTTCAACCTCCGGGCGCAAGTCTCGGAAATCATCCAAAAATCACATAAAACATCTTTTTCATTTGTTCCAATACCATTCATTCACCTTTGCCAAAAGGATTCATTTCATGGTAGTTCATCAGCATGAACATAGTTCTCGCGGATCCATCTCGCGCGTTTGGCACCACCATGCCTCTAAACATTGGGTTAATTAATCCTGAGGATAAACTAGTGTTAATTAAAATCGGCCAAGTCCCACTTAGGGTTTTTTTCCTAGTTTACCCTTAAAATAATTAAACAAGGTGGCGACTCACCACATCACGTCATTTCTGCCCTTAGTTCCACATGCATCAACGATGCCTTATGATATTTGGGGTAGGGGTTTCACAGTTGGCGACTCTTGCTGTGCCGGGAAAAAAATTGTAATTCATTTTGCATAAGAGTGGGAACTACACATTTTGTAAAAAAACTAACCGGCCTTTCTTTAAGGTATTATTTATGTTTATGCTTTGTTTGTGCAGGCGTTACTCTAATCAATGAATCAAGTGTTTTTTCTTACTATCCTTAAGAATACTTGATATGGAAATCCGGACTTAATTAATGTGATTAAGACATTAAAACTTCGTTGATTTATTTGGCACTATTTGAGAATCTCCTTTTTCTCATTGCCTAAAGAAATTGAACTTCAAATGAATTCTCCTCTTTCTGTTCAAACTTCTGGATCTGGATAGCCAAAGTAGCGCTTGATCCGGCAGGTCTCTTTATTTAGCTGTCGACGGGACAGCCCAAAGCGTCCTCCCTGTTACCGCAAAACCATCCCTAATCCTTGTTGGGGGTGCCACATGGCGTTATGCCGTAACGTTGTTGACCCTCACTGCGAACTCCTTGTTTCAGACATGTTGGTTAGGTTATATCCATACTCAAGGTTTCAAGGCGTCCAGTCCCTTAATAAGCCGGATTCTCTATTTGTGTCATAGCCCTATAGACCTGATCCTTTTAGGGACTGTATGCCACCCGTGATATTGAAACGCGACATTTCTTCATTAAAAAAACAGATTATGATGTGTTTGTATGCGCATGTCACGACGCTCATATCATAAAACATTGGGTAAAAACACATGGAGACACATCAAAAAAAATATATTTCTCTTTTGGTCATCACAGTGGACAAAGAGTCATTCTCTTCTCATATCAGCTACCCTGATACTTAACAATACCCTTAATCCAGTTACCCTCATACTTACAGTACCCCGTTCAAGTGTCAGCTACAAACCTACTGTGCTTTATCCACCGACCTCATTCAAACGTTCAAAACTACAACCAATGGCATTTTCATTGTCTGGACATCCAAAACCTCATGAACAAATGGAAGACCACCTTATAGAACAAATGGAAGCAAGAATGGAAGCTAAAATGAATGAGGCATTGGTTGCCCAAAGAATTGCTCTATTAGCTGAACTAGGCGGTAGTAATG